CGGCCACGTCATCGCTGTGAGGGCTGAATGTACGGCCAACCCAACATGTTGCCACGGTTCGCATGGAGCGAGTCCTGGTGATTCCTAGCTCCACAACGAGTCATGTGACACAGCACCAAACGAAGCGTGCAAAACACCGGCAGGAAGGCTGCGAAGGTTGCGTCGCGCAGTCCACCGCCACTGCATTCCATCTCGCACAGACAGCTCGACACGGTGGGGATGCTTGGGACGCGTGGAGCGCATGCGTGGTGTGTATCGACGAGGTAGGCAATACACACTGTGTGTGTGTGGCTGCACGGGCTGCAGTGCACAGCATCAAAGTCGACGGCAGTGGCCAAAGGAAAAACATCGCATGAACGAAACAGCTCGACCACTAGAGTTCCTGTCCTCGTGTTCATGCGGTGGCCGGTCCCCATGCCATCTGCGCCGCAACGTCGACCGTCCACTGAATCCGTCGTGTGACAACGTCGTGAAAGGCTTCATCGAGGCGTGCCGACCCGTCGCCAATCAAACACGTCTGGTCGTACGCCCCACGCAGCCCAAACGCCGGCGTTGGATGCCTCGTGTGGCGAGGCGTGACGTACTGCGGGATTCTTGCCAGCAGCCTCGCGCCCCTCGCTTCCCAGTCGGTTCTCGTGGCGACTGCTTCCGTGCCCCCACCGGTATCGACGATGTCGATTACATCCCCTCCGTTGACAAACAAGATCGACGGGGAATCGTTCGGCGTCGGGTCGTACTGTGCCAAGCTCCCACACAGCGTGTCAGGGTGGGCCGTCACGTCGTCGGGCTTAGAAACGACGCTGGCAGCCCATGGCGTAAATGCATACGGCACCTGCGCGAGCTCAAACGACAGCCAGAACGACTCCTTGTCCCCCCTACGTCATATTCACGGTCAGGACTAGAATCCAGTCGCTCGACACAAGTGCGTGTGTGATGCTCGTACCACGAAAACGGATGGCCGTGGTGGCGCTCGTACGTTGCCAAGTGCCACAGCACTTTGAGTGTGGCTACGCCAGCTCTCGATTTGTGCAATAGCACAACCGACGAGTCCTGCTCGTGTGCAGTGTGTCGGGCGAAGATCATCGAGTCCTGGAGGCGCTTGGAAGGACTAGTTGGACGGGTCAGACCAAACGAGGCGTACGGGAACGAGTCGAGGAACGTGCGGAGGTACGGTCGGCCATCTCCCTGCACCTCGTTTAGCCAAAAGTTGTAGCTGAGCACGCGATCGTGAAAGAACAAGGTGCCGGTGTCGATGAAGAGCGGCGTTGTCCAGAGCGTTGCCGGGTTGGCGACAAAGATGTTGTCCACATCCATGAGCATCACTTGGTCAAACGACGACACGAGGACGGCGAGGGGTTTGAGCCAAAAGTTCTGAAAGTCCTTGGCAGCGTCCGGGGTGAGGAGCTCCGCCGACACGAGCGCGGCGCACGCGTCGATGATCTCGATGTTGGCGTCTGGAATCGCCAACAACAATGCCCTGTCCGACTCTGGCAGTTCCGAGTCGAAGCAGTGCATGACTTGAACGGGGTCGACGTTTCCCAGCGCCCGCAGCTCCCGGATTAGCGACGCCCCGATGGGAACCATCGCGTGGTGCAGCGACAGCACGATTCCCCGTGCTGCATGTGGATATCGTGTCGAGATGACAGCGTTAGGCCGGTCAAACAGCGACTGGAAGCTCGTGGCGAGGGGCCGTTGAACGGTTGCAGCAGTAGCGACGGCGGCGGGCTGTGGCGGGTCAGCAATCACAGCCTCCCATGACGTCGGGGCAGAGGTGTTCATTCTGTCGTCGTTCAGCGACACAATGTCGACGTTGCCGCCGAGATTCTCGCGGCGATCTCTTCGTTGCTGCGTGGCGCTCGTTGTAGCCGACGACAACGTTGTGTTGAGGGGTCTGTAGTTCGAGCGATTGTGCGCCGATGCGTTGCGGACGTGGGCATGACTTGCCATCATGCTGTG